CCGTCACATTCTACGAAAGCGAAATTGCGACGCACAGTACACAGCGGCTCGCCCACAGCAGTTTACCGCGCCAATAGACATCGTGAATAGAGCGTTACGGCCCTTTAACTCCGTTATGACGGCTCTCCACAGACCATATAAGCCGTCCATTGTGCACGTAACCGCCAATCGATTTGTTTATCGAACTACGACCTATGGGCCTTTTGTCCGGGACCCGATTCCCGTATCGCCGTCGCTTTTTTCTTTGTCCGTAAGCCATTGTTGCCGGTTATGAATTCGTTAGTGTCGCATAATGGGAATGATGTTGATTCGCTTTTTTATCAAGAGCCGGGACACATGTGTGATGTCTGTTCTGTTAGGCTAGTGTGCGTCACAGTTTTACATTAGGCGATTGAGTTGTGCAAGCGCTTCGCATCGGTTTCACAGCCGCGGCATTAGGTCATAGATATCGGATAATGTGTTATGATATTTCACGTTGACGAAGGCTATCATAATAATGTGTCTTCACTCGAGGCAAGCATAAAAACTGATACTTTGTGATAATTCGAGCGCTGGAGTTGCCACTATTTACAATTACGTCATTTTTGACTCCGATAATGTACCTGCGAGTAAATATTCTTCTACACTGACTCTATGTTTTGTAATGATTTTAATGCTTTAAAGATTACTGTCATAAAAATTGACAATAGCGATGTTAGTTTGCCTTTGATGCAGGAGTCCCAATATAACAAATTATAAACTTTAAATTATTTGTACTTGTCCCGTAAATACTTATTGGAATGACGATAGATCAAATTCTTCTCAACATTCTAATTATGTATTTGTGGTAATAGCAGCATGCCCGAAGACTACCACGGGTAGAAACAATTTAATTTTTTTTAAATAAGCGAAATGTTGCATATTTATTTTTTGTTCAGTTAGTTATGAGTTGCTTACCCCACAACTTGATATGTTCAATAAAGTCGTGTATTTCACATTGTAATATTCTCATGAAATAGATTCAACCTGGTTTAACCGCTACTTCTTTTTCAAATCAACTTGACATTAATCAAGTGGTTAATGTCGTCTGTCCAGTTCGTAATTAAAACGAGGTGAAACTCGTATATACGTATACACATCTACAGTGACACGTAGTAGGAATAGTTCTATAGGCTCCGTGACACAAGTTATTATAGATGACACGGCATCTTTAGCATCCGTCGAGTCATGCCACGACGTTCATTTTCGAAATGCGACTAAAGAAATACTCTTATCATTCGTACATTGAGTGTCTGTGAGAAGATAAATGGTTTAATTTATCGATTGCCTAACAATACATGACCTGTTGGTGCTGGCGTTTTGAATGCGGGAAGCTACAATATTGTTTACCATACGATTATATGGCTTATATCTTTTAGGCTAAGGTTTGTTACTGAACAAAGTGCTCAACAGTACGCCTGAAGTAAAGATACTAAATTTCAAATGAGTAAATATCATATATGACTTAATATCATTAAAGACGTTGCGTTTGCTAACACTTTAAATTGATAAGTTACTTAACATTGGCTTATTTCCCTTATCTATTTATGTCGATTCGCTCTCGAGTGGACCGTAGTAGTAGTGTAATAAAAAAAAATGAGATGGATCTTATCAATGAAGAAAACAAATATGGTTGCAATGGGAGCCGTTGACACAGTAGATGGAAAAATCGCCTTGTGTTTGTAGGTCCCTAGATCAGGAACTCGCACTAGTACATACATACATACATAGTAATGATTAAGTGATAAAAGACTGTCTCGTAATTACCATCCTGACATCAACGCGAACATTAATAAGCGTCGTCTGCGCAACGTCCTCGTCGACCCGGTCGAGGAAGGGGACATAAGTACGTCGGACCCTATGAGCACGGCGAAACAAACACAACGCGTACACTAGGTACACCCACGCTCCAGGGCGGTTCTCACCGCCCCAGCCACCGATTAATCAAGTACAGTCAACGGCCATAGAGGTCACAGTCCGCACCGAACCTCGATAGCCCGTAGGCGACATTCGTCGATGAGCACATGCGCCCTACCCACTGTGGAGGGCCTCAAACCCACGGGCTCTGCGTTAGATGAAGCTTTCTACGGACTGAAAGCGCTAACTTCGGTTACAACATAAACATAAGACTGTCTCGTAATCTCCGTCGTCATAAGGCATTATTAAGTTTGTTTTCTGTACAACGTTCGAGTTATCGGCCAATAAAGACGCACCACAATAAACACGCGTCGTTCGTGGCGTTCCCTGAATGAGACGGGTTCGGACACGCCGGCGGTGGTTCGATCAGAGATAGGGACTGTTTGCATCACTAATTCGTCGTACGAGAGGGCCGCACTGTCGTCGGTTCATTGTCAACGTCCGCTGTCGGCCGCGTATTCAAATTACCACGAGCATGTCACCGTGTTCTGACTTCGTGATTGCATTGCCCTATCTTCTATCGGAATCGGGATATGTTTGTTATTGATAGCCATTTTTTTTAAAAAACTACGCCCTTTCTGTAGGATTTCTGTGTCGATCCTGTGTTGACGCTTTACAAACACATATTTCACGTGGACAAACGACCAGATCCGAAACAATCATCTGTGGGTCTTACAAACAATTGTCCCGTGCGGGAATCGAACCCACTACGCCCGGCGCTGAATTCAATACCTTGACAACTGCGCCACGGAATTACCACATTTTTTTTTGTAAATAATGTTTTATTACTTTGATCCATTGAATTTGTTTAGCTTGATAAGTGATCAAGCAGCAACTTTGGAGGCTAAGCTGGGTAAGGGTAAGCCTAAGTTGTGCTTAAAGTTTACAACGCAATTAAAGTTATACGTACACCTTATCAAACAAACATATGAATAACTGCACATACGCACTCTAATCTAGGTAGGTAAAGTTGTGTTAATATTCTGCATCTTATTCACAAACTAATAAGACCATCGGGTGTTTGTTTTTTCATTATATTGCTATATACTCGTAGCAATGTCCATTGCTTTATGTCGATCGTAAAGAATCGATTTTTTTATGCGAAAAGTTGTCAATCGATAGACGGTTGACCTGATGTTAAGTGAATACCGCCGCCCGTGGACATCTGCCACACCCGAAAGTTACAGATGCGTTAACAACCTTTTGAAAATTGGGCTCCGGCTACCTCACTCACCAGACGAAACGCGAAAGTATTTGTTATACTTCCACTTTACGCTGGTCTTCTGTGAGGTCGTGGTACTTACCTGGACGGGCCTGTCCATGCATGCAACAGCCGAGGCTGCTGCGTGGCCCTACCACCGTAATAGAATAAATCTTTCGTATAAAATAGATCTTTCGTTCCGTATAAAATAGATCTTTCGTTCCGTATAAAATAGATCTTTCACGTCATTTAGCATACGATATAATACGATGTTGAATATTACTTGTACTGAATATTGTTGTTAATATGTTGGTTCTTACTACTTATTGACTCATTTTTGCGCAAGCGACTATTTAGTTCACCTTTAATGTCCTAACGCCAAGGACATCAACTAAACCTGTGAGGTAGCAGTTGAGAAGCCAGCCTTAAATATTGCGTGTCTCGGTAACCGCACTCTCCGGAAGCAAAATTTTGCCTTTGCGCTGCTCTTCTGTTGTGGCTGTGGTACTTTCTCGCCAAGTCTGGTCATTATTGCAACAGAAACTGTTGTGTGGATCTACGACGTGTTAATAACTTCACGGAATAAAATTGTAGTCCATTGAAATTGAAAGACCGCCTGAATTTAACAAAATAGAACTTTGTCATACTGAGCTATTTTACTGCCAACGTACTTGTAGAATCACTGACCGTGTTAAATTCGATTGCAGGCCAGCACTTGTCAGTTCGTGATAAACATTAATTAAAGCTATTTTAAATAATAATAATAATAATAAATTAACATCGTGGGTATTTACGCGTTAGCAGAGCTATAAAATCGCGTGCAATTTCCACGTGGGCGTACGAAATTCTGTTCCACTCTTTGTTCGCAAAGACCTAATGTTATTCTGAGTTTCTATTGTTCCAATTTGGCTGCCGCTCAAAATCATCTCGTTAGCCGCTTTATTGTGAGAGGTCTCCAATTTGAATTAAGGTACAAAATAAAACAGTACCTAGTGAATAAAAATTGCTTTGACAAGTTTGATGTGTGACTGTGTAACTAAGATCGTTGAGAATGTGATAATGTGATGACTTCATACATTCGAACTGACCTTTTTTTTTTCATAGATATTTACAGTCATATTCTTTTAATAACTGCTGTTTCGATGGTCCTGCATTACTTATGTCATTGTAATAATGCATAAAGATACTATACACATGCATACCCGAACCAGTTAGTCTTAGTAGAAGTTTAGCCAATCTTCAATTGATTTGTTAAATGTTTATTTAACATAGGTGATGTTTTTGTTTTTATTTTTTAGTTCAATATCGTTAAACAGTGTTGATCTACTCTTGACTACTATTTCCCTAGATTTTAACTACAGATGATGCCAAAGAAAACAAAATGTTTAGACCAGCATTAGGTAATTAATCATGAAGAAGTAAATCTTGCAGGTAACCGCCTTGTAAGTTTTTAGTATCATTAGCTAACTAACGCCGATACAATTGGCTAAAGCTAACTAAAAGCATACTGTTGCTCTTCATAAACAAAATAGGTCGGCGTGTAATATATAATGTATTAAATTGAAAAGCTCATTTACCGCTATGCTTTAGAACAGACACAACGCAATCCATAGGCCGCCGTATAATTCGAGCAACCGCGTAGTAGTCACTAAAAGAATTTCGACATTACACCGACTTGACAACAATCGATGCGCCATCGGCCATGATCAGAATGACTGACGCGAACAAAGAGTGTGTCAGTCATTCCGACAGGGATGGTTACTACGCCCGGGCACTGCTGCCGTCCGCTAATTAAATACTGTTCCAATTTCACGCCAAGGAAACTGCTCCACGCGTTCCTCTCTTCCCTTACGTTTATCCGTTACGTGTCGCGTGACGCTGCCAAATAACGCTTTGATCTATTCAGAGACGTTTTACTGCTGTCGATATCGGGAAACGTCAATCGAAGATCCGACCCATTATTGAATGCCGAGATATTAAAACTGGCGGTTGATCTTAACGTCAGCTGTTTTCGTGGCTGCGCGTCCCCATTTCCTTGTAATTTGAGGACTAGTCGACGGAGCCTAAAAGGATGGCGATCGTAATGGATCACATTTCGGAAATGACGTAATCGATTATATGTCTGCATCTACAGACGCATCCATAATGTACTGTATGGTATAATTTATATGTAACAATTTTTAAACTAAAACTTTTTGGATAAGAAAACGACAAATCGTTTTGACAAAATCACTATTCACAAATAATCTAATCACATTATGGGAAATACAAGCAAAAACAATGGCAGCAACTGTCTTCTCTGTTAATTATCTATAGGGATAAAGGACTTAGACTTTGTATTTATAGCAATTATTTTTTTTTGTCAATCTATTATTCAATGTAATCTATTCGAGCCATTTTACCTCTGTTTATTAAATAACAATAATATATAAATAATATTAGGAATCTTTTGTTTAGGTATCTCCACCTAATAAATTTAAGGTTGTGTCCATAAATTGACATTGTTCCGTAACTACCAAAACCGTTCTTTTACGTGCTAGACACGTCGCCCATGCAAACCTACAAGCAGGCGCCGTATTCTGACCATCATTCCTGTCGTCCCCAGGTACATGTGACAAGCCGAGTGCCGCGCCCCATTCCCATGCGCCCGCCGCTCCCGTGCGGCTAGCGTACTGTGCCTCGCGCGTCGTGTGCATGCGGATCGTGTGCTGATCGCGCTGGCGTGGTACGGGGCGGGCGGTGGCGCGATGCAGGCGGGCGGCGGCTGGTTCGTGCCGTGGACGATGGGCATGCAGAAGTTCGCGGTGGCGCTGCCGATGGGCGGCGTAGTGCCGCTGGTGCCGCCCCTGCTCGCTGCCCTGCCGCCCGCGCCGCCGCCGCTGCGGCTCATCGCGCCCCCTCCCCTGCCGCATCAGGCGGCCGGCGGCAGGAAGGTACGCGGATCGAAGAAGAAGCACGTCGTTGAGTGAACACCGCTGCCCATGGACATCTGCTACACCCGAGGGTTGCAAATGCGTTGACAACCTTTTCAAAATTGGGCTCCGGCCGCCTCACACACCGGACGAAACGCGAAAGTACTGAATACGTAATACTGCCACTTCACGCCGGTCTTCTGTGAGATTGTAGTACTTACCCGGACGAGCCTGCCCATTCATGCAACAGCCGAGCTGCTGCGTGACCCTACCATCGTAAGGCATCCACCATCGTGCATTTCTCTCTTCCATATCGCTCAATAATCGGCAATAATGTACCCCTCATGGAGTATAAAGTAAATGCTTATTCACATAGCACTGTCATCCATGTTGAATCAGTAGGTCAAAAGATGCCGCTTCGTGAGCAATCAAATCCGTGAGCAATCCGAGATTCGTGATAGCTCAGTCTCCGGGTAAGCACCCGGAGACTGAGCTATCGCTTGTAATTCAATATACTCGACCACCCTGAGTTCAAATCTCGGTCCAGTCACTAATGAAATTGTTAATTTTAAATGTTGAATTATCACGTACCCAGGTGTGAACCAATATCGACTCGCTTATTCTCTAACATTAAGCACCATCGTCGAGAATGAGGAAGATATTTCTTTTTCATTCTCACTGTGGTAGACATAAGCCCGCATCAGCCTCGGTTGTTGCACGAATAACGACGGGTAACTAAATTGACCTCACAGAAGACCGGCGTAAAGTAGAAGTATAATACTTTCGCGTTTCGTCTGGTGAGTGATGTGGCTGGAGCCCAATTTTGAAAAGGTTGTCGACGCATCTGGAACCGACGGGTGTATCAGATGTCTCGCTGTTTCTGGTATCAAATATACTCGAGTGTACTCTTTCTACGAAACACTATCTAACGCCGGGCGTTCATCAAGGATCTTTCCTCTCTCTTCTGCTTTTTTTGCCTAATATGCGCTTGCCTACCCAAAGTGCAGCATCGTATGAAGCTTTGAGTACGGAATGAAAGCGATAAAATCAGTTGTATAAAGATAAATGAAGAGAAGAGATAACAATGTCTACTCTCAATAACGAATCTCGAAACGTCACAGTCTCACGATGACGTTTCGACATGACATGTGTCAAAGCAAAAATTTCATATCGCGTCGAAAGCGTCCCTAGCAAGACACACAGCTTTCTAATATCACAAGCGAAGTCTTTATTGAAATAATGTGTATTCAAATCTCAATGTTCCGTCTCTCTTTGAAGATCCCCACGTTGGTGTTTTCAATATCCTTTGACGGTTCTCTATAACCGAAATGGATCGAGAGAAATGCTAGTATGGAGGTATATCAGATAAAGAGGGACAAAATATTGTCCCTCTTTATCTGATATACCTCCATTCTCGGTATAAAGTGTTTACTTAACTATTACTACTTATCTATTAGTTAAATTGATAGTCACATTGATGAGCATAGGTCGCTATCATTCAAAAACGTATTTCTACTTTCAGTAACATTTAATAATTTTAAACGAGGAATCCTATGTAAATTCAAAACGAAAATATATATTTGTTTTACTATCATTCGTTTCTTGACTTTCGACCCTTTGAATTGGCAACGATGTCGTATTTCTAAAAACGGTAGATGGAATTCGTTTAAGCTTGTACGAGAATCTGCTTATTGTATGTCGGTTGTTTAAATTTTAGCGCGGAACAATGGATTTTTATTTCGTGGAATATTATCTGACATGAAATTCCTCACCAGAACTACTCTGTTCAAAGTTTTTTTTGAATAAAATTGCTTAGTCTTTCTACAAATTCTTCAGGCTTTTCACAGTTTTAGAAAAAACACTACCTCCACGCAGTTTTTGCGTAATGACTTAGATAGCCTGCCAGCGTCCGTCTTTCCGTCCGAATACAACGTTGGCGTCTTCAAGGCAAGAGTGAATAGGTTTCTACTGAGCTAGCGCTCTTATTATCAACGGCTGCATCGCCACTTACCATCAGGTGGGATGGCAGTCAAGTGCTAGCCAGTTTTTGAATTAAAAAAAATAAAAAATAGATAGGGAAAGCCAATTTCATTAACCGACTTTACTAGTATGTTGCGTGGTCTAAAAGTTTGCCTTGCTATAAAGCAATACCGCCTCTTAATATTTCACCAAACAAATACCTTATAAACTATCAACAATGTTGCATACAAAATATTCCGGTATACTACGCTTCCATACGAATAAAACTGGACGAAGAGGAAAAAATTTTCAGCAAGGGCCTACATTGTAACGACGAAGAGCAAGCATCGGACGTTACGATATAAAGGATAAAGTAATTTGGAGTTTGTCCGCCCCAAATGGTTATAAATGTTCAGTCGGTGATATATGTTAACGGTTATTTATTTTATTTACGTACATGTCAAATTCGCAATGTAATTTAATGTTGTGACTTTTGTAGCGTTACTATAAATCCATTCTTTATTGTTCCTCTCCCTCGTTCATTTATGGATTGTTTTAATATTTTCCCCGTGATATGCAGATAAAAATTCTTATAGTTGACTTTTGTATCCTTGCTTCTTCGACTGTGGTAGGGCCTCGCAACCGGCGATCAATGATTTCTTGTGGTAAGTGAGGTAGCCGGGGCCCACTTTATTAAAAGGTTGCAACGCATCTACAACCCTACGGGTGTTGCATTTGTCAATGGTCGGCTGTTATCGCTTAATATCAGATGAATCGCCAGCTCCTTTGCCAACTTGTCACATAAAAAAAAATCAAAGTTATTTATTTTAACCGTTATAAATTGCTTCTAATGTTTCTTTTTGTCTTTTGCTCAAATAAAGATAAATGTTATTTTTCTTTTCTTACATTTATTAAGAATAACTTCTTACGTTGGTACATAAGTACAAACACACACACACACACACGAACTTTATATTAAACATTACAGACGACTGGTCTTATATTTATATAAATCAAACTTAACTTATTAATCAAACTTTTTGAAACTACCAAGCGTGCCACAGATTCATAGATATATGATATGAGTATATATATATATATATATATATATATATATATGCTTGGTAACGGCTAGCCTTCTTCGGCAGTCGCGATGAAATTAGAATAAAACCTCCAGTAAAACAAATGAAAGTGTCACGAAACTGTAAACAGAATCCAGTTCAATTCAGCGGAAAACTATAACGGCGCCCAAAACACTTGTTCAGGTCCACCGTCGGAGTAATGGCCCTAATATCATTTAAAATTGGCCCATTAAATTTTATTGACGTCGGAATAGTTGTTTCACGCACCTTTATTGCGGGGTGGCACCGGATTTTATCCCTTATTTTTCCACCGTTCGGAATTTATGTCGACTTCCGTTATTTAATTGTCCGAAATCGAAATTCCGTTGGCGATTGCGACTGCGACAATAATTCACGAGGAAATGGGAATCTCGAGTATTCAATCGAAATATGTTCCTGCTCTTAGTCTTCTTTTTTTCCTCCTGCCCTTGATGGTGTCGGCACAAAATGTGAATCTATTGTATAATAGTGTTACCTGTTTGACTTCAACCCTCCATGAGAATAATTGTTCCGGTTCTGGATTTTGAACCGGAACACTCTATCTGTGAGTAAATACAAATATACAAATACTTTTTCCGAGTGGAAATGGGTAAAAGGTATTGCATCAATTCAAAGTGTTACCAGATTTACTAATTAACGTAATATCTATAGCGTGTAAAATGGTTTCTCTATTTATTCAAATAAAGGTAACAGAAAGATTTAATATGTCTGTCGATTGTGTTTATAATAAAAAATAGTTATGATTCTAGAAATCATAGTGTGATTTTATAGTTTATAAGAAACTAATCGCTCGTTTTAAAACGTGTACAGAAAAAAAATATTAAAAAGAGCACTTAATAGAGGCATGACATTTCTTTTTTCAAACTGCAACAGTTGCAACATCCTCACATAATAGCTGCAAAAAGGCAACACAGCTCCGGAACTATGCTTTGATAAATAAAGCCCGTGTCATTATCTGGAGTAATGACAAGTTACAAGCCCGTCGTCGACGCAACACGTGCAAACGCTCGATCCCTCACTCTTGACTCCTTTAATTGCATCGTACGACATTCGAAAAAGAAAAAGCAAGAGTTGAGCGCGTTTTCCTTTTTTCACAGAACTCCATTGGAGCCTTGTACTTTGTTCACGGTCTGGCTATATTTAACTACCTCTAGTCACGGAGATGTTTCCTGATAGAATTGATCAATATGATTTTTTTTTGATTATTTAACCTTAACAAAGCTGGTCTAAAAAATTTAAATGAAAGAAGTCTGCCGTTGTGCGCTCTTCACTAAAAATACTGGATACTGGATATATTTCAATGAATTCATCTAACGTTTATTGCTTAGACACACGTGCTTTAATTAAAAAAAAAATATTGTAATATTTGAAGTAAATTTAAAGTTTAAAGCAACAACGATTTTTCTAAGCACCAGCTGTTCAGTGATGTATGTTTTCTTGCCGTTGAGAAGTGGGGCAAGCGGTGTAGTTGTTAACATAATAAGCAATGCAGACGACGTTGTAGGCGTCAGGCGTTGTAGTCTGTAATAAATTAATAAAAGCTAATGTTGGATATTCCAAAACTACAAACAAATGTGTACTAACTGTATCTGGTACATTTAAAAAAGTCTTAGATTTTCACCGGATGTTCGTTTAACATCAGCTTCTATACATAGACTATAATGAACATTAAGTCAGTTCAATCATCTTTTAAAAATGTACTTTTTCAAAGAAAATTATCATGTTCCCTCAGATGTAACGCGTGAGTCACCGGTAAATGTTAATCAATAAATATTTTCGCTGTATTTTCGCGTCCCCGAGACAAAATGGATGTTTTTCGATCAAGAACAACGACAGGCCGCCGTAAAGCGATCCGATCACTCAACGTAACCTCCAAGGGAGACTGGGGCGAGTTACGACGTCCCCTAATGCGGAACATTCGCTTCGGGAAATTTCGCCGTCAATACGGGCGTATGTTGAGTTTATCCGCCACGT